GGGAGAAGAGAGAAGAGGTGGCCAACAGGAGAGGAGGTGTGAACAGGTGCAGGGCCGCTGAAGGAAGAACCAGCAGATGGAGAGAGACACAGCCAGTTTAGTTACAGGAAAAAAAGGGTGGGAGGGAAAAAAGGAAGGAGGAGGGAGAGATGGGAACGGGAGAAAAAAAGGATCGGAGCAGAGATGAGAATGCTCTGGACAGATAGATGGACGGATATCTATATACATGTATGTGTATGTACATGTATGTGTATATATATATATAAATAAGGCTGGGTGCAGAGTAAAGAAGCAGTGAGGCTGCATCAGGCCGCCTCTGTGTTGGATGTGCTTGCTTCACGGAGTCGGACAGCAAGATGAAAGGAGGGGTGCCGCAAGGAAAAATGTGGGAGCAGAGTGATTGACTTGCATCACCCAGAGGTTTAATAAAAATGTGCTAAAACACATTGAGGTGCGTGTGACAGGAAATCGTGTGACACTCTGCGTGGTCTGCCACACGGAACAATTCAGATGTTTATTGTGTGCGACATCACCGATACGCAGCGCTGCAAATGTTCAATATGTCACATTATTTTCTCTGTATCGCGCTCATCGATTGTTGGCAGTTACCAGTTAGACGGGCCTACACGAGGCCGCTCGCTCACCGTCTCTCTGTCGCACACATAAACATCGCACTCGCACATAAGCAGAAATCATCTTTGTAGTCTTGCGTATCAAACTGTTGAATATTAATATAGTCTGATTGATGCAGTCTATCATAAATAACCGTGTATCTGCTGGAATTCCTCCACCAGAGTGAATCATCACGAGTGTCACCGTTTTGAGCAGTTGGAGAGCAAATAATTAACAGTTGTCATTTTATAGTATACTATGAGTTTATTTCAGTAAAATCTTACTGACTCGATAAATGGGGTGGAAATTAACTGTGGGTTTTTTATAGCTATGTTCATATAAGAGGCAAAATAAAGGGAAAAACCTGACCTAGATCTGGTATGCTGTGTTTTGCTAGGGTGATTTGACTTCATTTGTGGCCTTAAAATGAAAGAAAATATCTCCTAAATGTAACATTTCTATTCTGGTGAGGGAGGTCTCTTCAAAGATGGCAGTGCTCCCTATCCAAGGGTCACTGTACAGGCTGTAAATTGGAAAAAAAGATGTTAGGACCACCTCAGTTAAGCCTTTTGAGGATCTGTGAGAGATTGCATCATAAAGAGATGATAATTGGAGGGACCCAGAAGAGTTAAAGAGAGTCGATGAATCAGTGGCAGGGAGTGCCAACATTTTCCTTTAATTAATGTTATAGGTGCTTAAAAATCCAATTCAGAAATCAGTGTGTTTTATTGTTTATTCTATAATGACATCCTAGTTACATGTGAATTACGTAAATCTGTAATTCTTCAATTAAAATGTTACATTGAACTGCTAATTCCATAATTGATAGCATCTTCTGGTTCTGGGCTCTCGTAGGTATTTTACCTGCGCAGTAGAAATGCTATTATTTGTCTTTGTCTTGATTCTGCAACTCTTTGCAGTGATCATCAGTACCTGCAACATTCAGTCCTTTTTGTTGCAAACAAAGCCTGCGTCTTCACATGTTTTTTGCTATAGGCTCAGTTCGCAGTCTGTTCACCTGTATGTTAATTTCACACCTGTTATTTTGCACCACATAACTATTGCAGAGCATAAATCTGAATATTCATTCATTTGAGGAATTGTTCTTTTTAGCTTATCGCTTGTTTTTATGTAGATAATTAATATACGATACACGTCAATATTTGACACTTTCTTTACGTCGCAGTGCGTTGAATAAGTAGCTCCAGTTTTTCCATCATCAATCTTGTGACTGCTTTTTAAGGATTTGAAATTACAGCAAAATATAAACTAAATGATTGTTTTCCCCATTATCTCCGTGTGTGTGTGTGTGTGTGTGTGTGTGTGTGTGTGTGTATTTTTATGCTTTAAATATGCATGTATATGTATGTGAGTTATATAGTGGAGAGTTGATTCTGTTTTTACTTTAGTCAGAACAGCGGTCAGTTGTGTCTGGCGTTGGCGAATGTCTCCAATTCCTCCAAGTCCACCGTCTGACTCCAATTTGTGCTCGTTCTGTGATAAACCACGGCATTTGGTGGTTCTGGCGTGGGATGCCGGCTGCACCATGGGGTGCTGCAAACTCCGCGCTTGGTCAGGCCCTGGCACCCCACATCTAATGGGCAACAGCTTGAATAGTGCCCACTTAAGCAGGCAGTGTGGACTGGGCTCCCTCTTCTTCCTCACCACTCCAGCCAGCTAGTCAGCCAGCCACCGCCTCTGCCACCTCCCACTTACCCAGCAGCCACTGTACCTGGACGCAGCCCCAGAGCCATTCCAGCCTACCTTAGGCCCCTGGCCCATGCAGCTCTCGCCATACTTATCAAGCTGTCCTACTGTGCATCAGGCCAGGCATATACAAACAGGCCCAGCTATCTGCTAACTGAACAGTCAGTCTATTGCCTCCTAGGCCCAAACAAGAGTTCCTGCCACAGGCAGCATCCCAGAGCCCATTCACCAATTAACTGGAAGGCAGATTAATGCCCAAGGAGAATTCTACAGCTCCAGCCCCACATATTCAGCCTCTGCTCTACCCGTCACTCCTTATGCTTGCTCCAGGGCTTGGCTTTTCGCTGATACCTCGCCTTCGCTTTCTCTTTTTTATGCTTTAATTTGATAGTGCTCAACAGCAGCCATTTTGTGACAGCATTTTGCAAGTAAACATGTTGCACTGGATTAGAGGGACAAAATGGCGCAGGGGAGAAACAACCGCAAAAGTTTGATCTGCCAGCTCCAGTTTGATCTTTGGTGAGGCATTCAGGCTCTTGTCACAGAGATACAAGTGCTCGTACCCAACTTATCGAACCGAAACCTAAACTCAGCGCACTTCTTTGGGGTTTCTTCACCAGGAACGAAAGCTTCCAGTCCGTTTGTTCAATTCTCTGTCCTTAACTAGGTCGTACTTCTGAGGTTCGGTTCTGTAAATCAGCACGACCAAGCAGATGCCAAATGTGAAGCTCTCTGTCTTTTGATTTCCTCTCCTCAGTTTTTATCACCCTCCTCTTCCTCACCACCACTCTATTGCTGACTGCTGGAACTTTCTGGCGATCTGTCTGATGCTAATTGGTGGGTAAACAGGTCTGGTGTGAGCCCCCTCCACCACCACCCCCCATCCCAATCGCACACAAACGCACACTCATAGAAATACACAAATACACACGGCCCCCTGGAACCTCTTGCAGGACCAAATGGCTGGCAACGCCTGCCCGCCATCTCCCGCTGAGCCCTGGTGTGCGCTTTGGTGGCTCAGGCTGCTGTTCAAGCCCAGCGGGGGTTCATTCACTCACACACACACTCATACGCGTACAGACACACACAGTCTCCTTGTGTCCCCTGCACACCCGCCACCCGCTTTCACACCCCAGACAGCAGGACAGCAGGAGAACACACACACACACGAAGGAACAGACAGACGCGGTCACTTTAGAGATGCAGGCCAAGCGCTGTAGGAGAGAAAAGTTTTCACTTAAACTGGAGAATTCTCTCTTCATTAGCGCCTTTGGACTTCAGGAAGAGTTCTGTTTATTTGTTCGTTTTTTTCCGCTCTTTGTAGTTTTTCTTTTCTTTCCTTCTTTGTCTGTCTCTCTGTTGTTTGGGTACGTTTGGACTTAGTTGAGATAGAAAGTTTGGTTCAGACAGGAACAAAATGTGCCGCTGTTCAAAGCCAGAAGCACCTCAGCTTGAATCGTACCTGTTCTATTCTATTCTGATGCTGACACAAATCTGAATGCAGTTTAAAGTTATTTGACTCCTTCTTCACGTACTTACAGAGATGACAGATCAGCTGACTCACTGTTGTGTGTCCTCAGCATTAGTGTAGCATATATCACAGTGATTTACCTTGTATCAAAATGCGTGGGATGGCAGTTTATTCGAGTGTTGTGTGAATGAGACAGCTGCTGTATCACTCAGGGGTCTCTAAGCTGACAGTGGCCTGACACATTTACCCTTCGACCCCCTCCAAGTCTTTTCTGTCATCGTCCTTTCTGCCCTTCCTTTCTTTCTCATGTTGTCCAGTATGTGCTCTCCTCCTGCTCCCTCTCTCACCTTGGTTTTAGCAAAAAGCCTGTCTGACATCATTCACACACACACACAGACACAGACGCATAACGTTTTCTTTTTATAGAAACGGCTGCAGATACGACCTGGTGGATTCTTGTCAGGTTGCTGGGATTCACTTGATAAATGACCCCGATTACATCGTAAGCCTTTGTGCATTTGTTACTGGACGCGTGGGAAGTCTGAAACATCAACAGTAATGAAGATGATCTGACATTTAACTTAACGCCTAGTTTCCACGTCTCAGTTTGAGTGCAGTTATTTAACGTACTCCTTCCAGAGCAGATTGCACGCAAGAAATTTCTTTCTCGGTGTGTCAACAAACTAATCTCCTTAGTAACCAGAAGCCACTTAAATGCACTGATTGACATGTCTGTTAATGCACAGACTTGAACTTGATCTAAGTGTACAAATTGTCTTCTGCATTATGTTGCAGGAGTAAAACATTAGACCCATTATTTCTGCAGTTTTTAGCCACAAAACACAAATTCCTACCTAAAAACAAAGATTGTGCTTGAAATGCTTCAGAGTGAAACCTTTTTCATGCACCATCACCCGCAGAGTGTGATGAGTAAGATGCCACAGAATGTCAGCGAGTGGCTGTGGAGACTTTTCACATTATTTTCCTTTTCACATGCGATGCTGTGCATGTGTACACGGCAGCTATGGAGGAATCAGAACACTGTCATCTAGTCTTTAGGGTTCTACCAATGGGCCGCTGTGCGTGTATTTTTTGCAGTGCACTTTTATATGATGTGCCAGAAACTAGAAAGTGTGTAGAAATAGTGAAAACACATTTTCTTTCACTGATTCTTCTTCTTTTTCTTTAACTTCTTGTTTTTTCTCCTCAGACAGGACAGAGAGGGTGCAGACCGGGCTCACGAAGAGGAAATGGCCTCGGTGACTCTTTCAGCTCGGGAAAGGGAGCGAGAGCTAACTGTGATGCTGCAGCAAGCAGAAGCCGAACACCTGCAGAGAGGTCAGTGCTTCAATCCACAGCAGTGACAACGGGTTTGTCTTCGTGCTTTTGACTTGTGGCGTAGGTCACAATGTCCTCTTTTCACCTCTCTGACTTAGTCAGCCATTTTGGCTCACATCAGGACAGGTCAGTTCTTCAAAAGAAAAAGCCCCTCCTTTCTTCCCCATCGGCATTTTAGTCACCACAGAACCTGTCGTTCAGAGTCATGCTGTCGTAATACTTACAGACTGCACCACAGCTCGATGCCGCAGTTTAAATGCTTTCTGGAAAACTTGGACGAGCAAAGCATGATAAAGCTTCTTAAAGCAATTTATATTGTAACGTAAAAACCATTGAACATTATAAAGCTTACAACAAACTGTTTTACAACAGTTTTTTTAAAGCAAATTGGAATTAAAAATTTTTAAAACATTTAAAAAAAATATTAGCAGAAGGAATCTTGTAATGTTTCTTATTCTGTTTTATGCTTCAGAGTAAGGAGACCGAAAAGAAAAGACAGTGTCAGGATCTAATGAATCTTTAAATGTTATATGTACAACATGTGAATAAAGAAATCCGAGTTTGTGGATGCTGATAGAGCAGGTTCATCGTTTAAAAAGTTTTCAGCGAAGGCCTGCACACACTTGTGAAAACTGTACATGGCTACGCAGCCGTCTGTTCTCCGATTTGCATCGCAGCTAGGTTTACTGCAGTACCCCGCAGTACACAGGCACGTCAGTTCTAACACAGAGGAGAGGTCGGTGTACGGTCGAGACAAACAAGACTACAGAACGCAGCAGGACTGAATGGGACAGAGCAATTAGAGTCAAATATCCAGAACAACAAGAGGCAAAACGGCAGAGATGACCAGGGTCAGCTACACATTCACATCCATTGAGCTGGATGATTTTCACTCTCCTCCTCAAGGGCGATTCAGCATGGCGGATCTTTGTTCAAACAAGGTCTTGAACTTGCATCATCCAGTTGAAGGGTGTCTTTCTTCTTTCTGTGCCCCCTCGTCCCCGCCATGACGGCACAGAGAGGAGAGCAATTCATCTGAACTGTACAAAACATGGCTGAAGTGACCTCAGAAGTGCAGAACAGAGCAGAAAGAGCCAAACAGAAGCCTTAAGAGGAGAATAGAAAGAAGAGGGGCAGAGCAGAGGGAAGGTGATGGGAGCAGAGCAGGGAGACCCAGCTCAGAGCTCCCTGTCTGTCTGCACAGCAGAGCTGCTGCTGCTAGCACATCTGTTGCACCATCTGGATATCCCCCCCCCCCATAACCCACCACCCACCCTCAGCCACTCTCCCTCCCCTCCCTCCCTTCCCCTATCTTTTTATTTACCTGTGGTTCCCTTCAACAACCCGGGAGCCTGCTGGTACGCAGAACAAAGATGGAGGGTATAGAGGGAGGGAGGGGTGGTGGCGGTGTAGGTGGGGGGGTAAACAAAGAGTTTTTTTGCTGGCGCGTGTCGACAGCACACATGTTGTCTAAAGAGAGCTGACATCAGAGCACAGCAGGAAACTGTGGATGGGGAGGGGATAGAGGGGTGGACGTCCTTTAGTAGCTCGCATCACTTCCTCTCCCCGTGCAACTCAACAGACGAGCTGGATAATTAGCTTTCTTGCTCTCCAAATCCCGCCTCTCTGTCCATCCGTTTGTCCTTCCATCCATCCGTTCCCCCCCTCTCTCACTTCTTCTCCGCTCCCTCCCACCTTTTTTTCTTTTTTCTGAATTTTTTTTTCATGTTTCTTTTTTGAGTAAATGTGTACAGAGCAGCCTCTAGATGATATCAGATATTTGTTTCTCTCTGTCCCTCCCTCCCTGCCACGCTTCTTCCCTCCATCCCTCCCTCCCTCATTTTTCCTCTGTTTGTTTCCAGTGCCAGTTCTGCTGTGTTTCTGTGTCCCAGGGTTCTTTTTGGCCTACGCATGGCCAGACGCATTCAAAGCCTGTTCAGCTAATTAGCATTCTTCATACAACTTTTCCAGCACTGACCAAACTTTGTAGAGTGTATGTGTGTGTGCACGGCTGTGAGTTTGTGTAGTTTAGTTTAATAGTTTAATGCTCAGTAGCATCCAATTTCTGCTCGACTTACATTGTCTGTGGTAGTGATTTGAAGAAGGCGGCTGTGGACAGTGGAATAAAATAGGTTAGAGGTTCCTTTGGAGTCACGGTCAATGGATGAGGTGCTCATCATCCTAAGCATTACCCTTTAAATTTCTCCCAATCAAGACTTATATAACTTTCCGTTTTAATAGCTAATCTGTAGCTTGGAGAGAGCAAAGATGTCTAAAGGGGAGAGTCCAGTTTCTGTCTGCAGAGATCTTTATTTTCTCCAATATTTGCTGTATGAAAAGGAAAAAAGTCTGAGTTACTTTTCAAAGACTGCAAGTCCTTGGTGTTTTTTGGTTTTTGGTCGACTGTAACAGAATGCCGGAGCAGGTGGATCATTCCCTCAATCCAACCGGCAGCCATTGTTATTTTAAAAGAGCAGACATATGCTGGAGAGCTGAACGTGGACCATTTCAAAGGAACGATGAAAGCCCCGTGTTGGATTGTTCAGAAAGAGGCCCCCATGAGCGGATGAGGAGGTGGCAGGAAGGGTGGAAAGGAGAAAGAAAGCGCTTTCAAACAACTATCCGCTCTTTTTCTCCACCTTGTTTTACCCTTCTCACTTTATATTTAAATTCTCTCTTCTGTGCATGGCTGCTTTTTTTCCCCCTGTACATTTATTTGTGTCGATTGAACAGTTTTTATTTTAATAGGATTGTTGACTAAAGCATTTTTTGCAGATTCAAAGAGACATATGTATCTATATGTGACTTTAGTTTCATTGTTCTGTGCTGTCCATAAGGTAGACGTTATCCTCTGACGTGAGGCCACTTGGGGTTTTTTATGTGCCCACAGAAGTTGGGAAATGTCTTTTAACTAACTTTTCATAACAACATATGTTTCGTTTATTGTATTTTATTTAGTCAGTCACGGTGTAATTTTTATTCTGCACAGGAACCAAGTAGCACATATAGACACATCATTTAAACATTGATTTTTCTTTCTAAAACATGATGAGATCTCACATGATGACTCCAGTTTACAAGTCACAGTGACCATCCTTCGAATCTTTTTTGTTGATATTATTGGCCCTGACTAGGGCTGTGCGATATGAACAAAATCTCATATCCAGATATAAGAATTCTATCGTCCGATAACGATATAAATCACAAAAATGTAACATTTTCTGTAAATTCTGTGAATCTCGGGCAGCTCAACTTGCGGGAAGTGTTTCCAGCTCTGCGTCATGTACCTGAAGTCGAGTGTTTTAACCGATGCATGAAACTATACATTTTTAGACATAAGTTGTAACGGCCGCCGTTTTCTTTGTGAGTATTTATTACACGGCGTGCTGCGGGGAAAAGCCTGTTCTAACATTTGAGTCTAAGGTTTATTTTTTAGCACCTGGCGGCTCTTTTTTAAATTCTCATCCGTAAATAATCTGCTCTTTCACGTGATTCAGTTTATTTTGAAAAGTCTCAACAGGATCTTGAGCTTTATTGTGAAAGGTTTATGTGAAACATAAACAAGCGGACATGGGATTGTGTTACCGTCGTTGTTGCTAATGACAACGCATAAAACAGGCGCTTGTCCGTCAGTAGTGTGGTTAAATTAAATATAAGAGAAAGAGAGAAAGAAGAAATGAATATAGCCACTACAGTGACCATCAAAAGGATGAAAAAATATTGCTGTAAACAGTTTATTTTGCGACACCACAAAACAAACGATAGCATAAAATGAAACGATAGATGTTTTAATATCGTCATCCGATATATATCGTTATATCGAACAGCCCTGGCCCTGACCCACATTTTTTTTTACTTATTTAATTATAATTTTAATCTTGTTTATGTTTTCCTTTGTACTTTTAATGACATGAGCATGCAAAACTGCTAATTAGAATAAAAGGGGCATCTCAGGGTTTTCCAAAATATGGAGGCCTTTTATAGGGTTCTGTAAATGTCTTTCAATAATTTCTCCAGATTGGGAATCAGATCTCTGTCTGTTAATTATATCAATAATATTGAGGCGGGCATGCAGGTGTACTTGAATTTATTCCACTGAAGGATGGATGCTTTACTCTCCTCATGTTCTCCTCATGCTCAGTTTTATGAGCTGTGGCATTATAGTAAAAAACATACTTGGATGATAGCTTAATGATTACGACATTAAGATATCGTCCTCACCTGTGAAAACTAGTCGCCCAAATCTTTTTTTTGACCTTTAGTATTTTATGTTCTCAGAGGTGAAACTGACAGATACAATCTTCAAATTAAGCCCCTCGCTGTTCCTTGTGTTTAAAACCTGCATACGCATAAAACATTTATTATGCTGTCAATTTTTTTGATTTGGCTCCACGGCTTAAAAATGTAACCATCATGTCCTTGTTACTGAGATTGTCCTTTTTACATATAGCAGCAGTTAATTAAAGGGAGTGTAACCACTGTTAGGTAAACAACAGCTGCTACACTGTCAGAGCAACTTATTCAGTTGTGTTTAAGTATTAGATTGGAAATGGTCTAGTTAGGCTCAGTTTTGTTTTGGTCAGATTGGAGATTTATTTTGAAAGGACCTGAATACACATCTGTATCTCTATAACCTATGTGTAATTTATCATTCAGAAAAAGGTGTCTAATTCTTCTCTGTGTTTAGCTGGCACGTGTTGATATCATCATTAAAGCCAGTCAGCTACAGAATCACTGATGGCATTAAACTATGTTTGCATCCAAAATAAATAACATTTAATTTTTCAAGAGAAGGGTAGGTAGGTGAGGACTTTCACCTGTTCTGGAGGAACGTCACCTGTGGTGGTTAAACCTAAAGTGACTGCCAGCTTTCCCATCATTGATTACAGTTGGAGAGTTGGATGGTCTCCTGAGTTCCCAGAATTCCCTCATTGGGAGGCTGAAGGAGGAGTGCTGCAACCTGGGGACCAAACTGGAAGAGCTGGCTGAAAAAAGCAGGTGAGTGTTTCCTCTGTGTTTGAACATTTATTCGCTCAGTTATGCCTTGATTTTTTTTTTTTAATTTGCCGTTTGCTTCCTAGCTCAGTGGCTTTTTTCTCTCTCCATGAAACAGTTGTTTGCTCTGCCACTCTGTTGTTTATTCCCTCTATCTGCTGGACATCCATGTCATCATTTCACAAAGCATCATCTATCCAGGCTGTTTGAACAGAGCACGTCAACATACTACATACTGCTTTCCAGTCTGACCTGTTTTCTTGTTAACCTGATGCTACAGTAGTCACAGCAGGCCTGCCCAGCTCTCCATCTGGGCTGAATGCGTGTGTGTCTGTGTGTGATTGTCTTCTGGGTGTGTGTGTATGACAGTGACCCTGGGCTCAGTGTCCTGTCAGCTGTTGGAGCTGTGCTGCACATTAGTCACATGACAGCCTCCAATCTGGCCCTGCCAGACCGCACTGGCCTCACCAACCACAGGACACATGCACACAACACACACACCAAAGTACACTGTGTATTTTGTTTGTTTGGAAGGACGTGAGTACCAGGTACACGTATAGAGTTTTTGTAGGTACAGAGTCATGCAGACACACTGGCCTGAAGGATCATTGTGTACATCTTCTGGATGTGTGCGTTATGTAGTTTAGCAGCAGCGTGGTGGTGTGTTTGGTGCCTCGGGCTGTTTGAGTTCCTGGAGTCTAAGCCCAACGTAGCGGTTAAAGTCCTGCTGGACTGCCTCACTCGGGCGAAGTGAGGTTACAGTGAGACAGTTGCAGGAAGATGGAAAAGAAAAATGATCATCTGTTTTTGGTAGTCCTGCTGACTCTGCACCTTTTATCGAGTGTGCTGCTGCAGATTGGCCAATGTAATGTTGTGAAAGTGACACTCACTACGTCTGGACATGCAGCCCGTTACCTCTATTTTTATCCCTGCATTTCCTGCTGTTACCTCTACTGTTGATGTTAGGTAGGCAGAGTGGAAAATGGTGATCTTAAAACAGGCATGTTTGCCAAATTAGCCGAAGAGTAAATGAAGTCACTATTTATTTGTTGTTTTGCCTTTTGAGACTTCTATTTCCTGGATCAACATAGGCATCATGAACCTAGCCTGTTTTTGGACACCAGAGAAAAGTACTCAGGTGTGTGAGCTCTGTTGTGAGGCAACAATGCTAACCACTGAGCTACCTCGCTGCCATTTATTTGATGACACATACGTTCTCGTAAGATGTGCGCACACACTGACAAAGACTCTGCTGCTATCTCTGCTGTTTCATTCTCTGGGACTACGCAGATATACTTTACTAAAAAGTCATATATTAAAGAAAAAAAAAGTGGATGATGAATTCAGTTTGTTGGTTGTATAATGCTTCGTACGTTGGTAGTGTGAATATAGCAGCTGTGTATGTGTGTGTGTATGCAGAAGTGAGCTGGAACAGCTGGCATTGGAGAAACAACACTTGGAGGAAACGGTGAAGAATCTGAGAGCTCGCTGCTCGGATATAGAAGAACAGTGTGTCCAGCACGGTCGCATGCACCAGCGCATGAAGGACAGGTGGGCGCATAACACACATAACTACACAGCTACACATACTGTCCGTGCAGCAGAGGGCAAAACATCTTCTGACATCTTTTTGGGGTTGTTTAATTTGTTCATTGGTCTTGTAAACTCCCCGTCAAGAATTTTATCTGATTGAAAGAGTCCCGTAAACATCAGTGACATTACATAGAAATCACTAGTGTTTAAATCACGAGTGTTTAAATGTTCATTTCTTTACATTTCTGCAGCGATGGCAGCGAGCCTTTTAAAAAAAGAAGCACAGTTTTCTTCACATTCTGTCCCCTCACCAGTGAATCTTCTGCACATCTGATGTTTATTTTTATATAAGAATTGTTTTAATTTTTTGTTGACATAGTGTTTTTTGTGTCAGCGCTTTATTCTCCTGCTGTCTGTACTGAGGCTGCACACACCAAGAGTTTCTGATCAGAAACTTTTCTCTTACATAACAGACAGGAGGAAAGTAAAGTAGTTATAGCGGTATAACTACGCGGTTGCGACTGTTCGCCCCGTTCACACGCAAGTCTCTCACAGCTCAACACAGATAATGGACACATGTTAAAGGGGAAAAAGTCTTAAAACGAGGACGTTAGGTACTCGTTTATCAAATTGCTCGTTTACAGCTGTGCTTCTTCACACCTCTGTGGCTCAGATGAGTTATGAAGTTAACAAGTGGGTAATTCGTGAGAAGTTGTGCGTCTCGGCAGTGACTAAAACCTATAATAAGCAGCGGTAAGTTGATCTCTTGTCAGCGGGAGCTGACACACGATGCTCCCGTGCGCTTGTCACACTCTAATAGACTCTTAATTACACTGCAGTGAACAGTAAAGTGAGATTTGGAGGAATTTAGAAACCATAAATAGTCTTCAAGTCAAAAAAAAACATGGCAGTGTGCATTTTAAGAAAAGAACGAAGCTGATCAGAGTGAGCTGATGAACTGAGGAGTCAGTTAAGAGAAAATAAATCTGATAGTGTAATAGTTGAGTATTTGTATTTTGGGTGAAAATGCATAAAAATTACTCAAACGTCCTAAATATGAAGATTTGTTGGGTTTCTTTACTTATGAAAGCTGCAGCTAAAAGTGCCTCCATCTTTGGCTTATGCTACAGTATCTGTACATGTGTATGCATGATGCGGGGGTCTCTTCCTCCTTAAGTGCGGAGCCCAGTTGGCGTGCGTCTCCACGGGGCGCCTGGCATACAGCTTGGCTCTGCCAATGTGGGAGAGGGTGTGTGGGTGTTGTTGCCCCACTCTGCAGGATCTCTACCCCAGTGCCCCCCACTTTTCCTCTTAACACACACACACTTGCAATCACGCTCACCCTTTTCTCCTGCTCCATCCATGACACTACATATTGTCTACCTCCCACCGGTGTTAACCTGTCGATAGTCACACGCTGCCAAAAAAACAAAGTTTACCAAGTCACAGCTGTCTCCTGGTTCTGTGTGACTCTTTGTGTGGTTTAGAGAAAGAAAAGCTATTTAAGTTGACAAGGAGTGTGAAGTATGAATATTCTGTACGTTTCTGTGCATATGTTGCTGCGGTATTTTGTGTATGTGTGTGTGCGTGTGTGTGTTGGTTGCTATTGCATGTTCTCAGGAGGTTTAGCAGAGCAGGAATGTGGCTGCCAAAAGTGGATTGGCTGGGAAGTTGGCACCTAACTTCTCTCTTCTCCCAACTGAACCACGATAATCACTCTTGGCATTTACTGAGTTTTATTTTCTGCTTTGACACTTAGTTTGTTGATGAATCCTCCTAATATTTAAAAATCTCTCAAGTTCAGTCCTACAAGAGGTCACTTCAGGAGCGACTGTTAAGCCGGCTGACCGCGTTTTTATTTTTCAGCCGGTAGAAGGTGCGTTTGTTTGAGAGTGCGTTTATACGGGTTTGACGAGTAGTTTTGGCATTTAGCTGCCTTTTTTTTTTTTTTTTAAAAAAGGTGCAACATAGAGATGAGGTAGAGAGGTGTGATTAACATTTATGATACACAATGCTGCTACAACTTGTTTTTTTATCTCTATATGTGCTTCTTTTTGAGGTAAACATTATAGAATGTATATCATAAGAGTATAAGAGAATAATATTTGTTGGAGTTTGGGAAGTTTAGCGACAGGCGCGAACTTTGAGATGTGGCTTCCGAGTGTGTGTGCATGCAGTTTTGTTTGTGCGCGTTTAAGCCAGTACGTCATCAGTTCTTTTCTTGTACTTGTTGTCGTGATCTTCGGTGTGCTTGCACGTCTATATGTCGGGTATATGTTCGCTGGTCCCCACAGGCCCCGAGTGTTCGGTGGGCGCCCCGCCGTGCCGCTCGGGGGTTAAGGTGTACGTGTTAACAAGCTGGTGTAAGTGGGTTCAATATCCAGCGCCCCGCCCCTCCCCACAGCCTCTCCATCGGCCTGCAATCTGTGCTGCGAAGAGCGGCAACAGCGCACCACGCACAAAACATTTGGAAAATCAGCTTGATTTATTTTTACATGGGCAAGCTGATTGCCAAACTACACAGGGGTTTTAGCACACAATGTTTTGCTGCACCATTTAATTATTTATTTTACTATTTCTGTGTTGTTGCTTTTTTTTTTCTTCTTTTTCCTTTTTTCTGCTTGGAAATGAAGGAATGGAGCGGAGGGTGGAGAGATGGAGCAGGACAGCAGCGAGTTAGAGAAGATGCATAGATGCAAATGTTGAATTTAAAGCCTCTGCGATTATTATCATTTTTACCAGCCTTTTTTAAAAACATTTTGATTTAGTTTAGTGTTTAATGTAGTTTGGGATTTTAGGTTTAAATAGTTGGTTTTTTTTAGTTTTCAAGAATATTTTATTTAACATTTTTACTAAGGTATTTGATCATTTTCAGATGCTTTTGTGTCCGAAAAATACAAACAACAAATCAGCCTTTATTAACTCATGACAGCCGATCATTTGTCAGTGGGCAGGTGATGTTTGTGAGTTTGTATTATGTGAAAACAACTTAATACAAGCATAAACGGAAGAAAAACGATTTTGCTATAACTGTGACAAAAGTGAACATTTTGCAGTGCAGATGAATTAGTTAATAGAAACGTTAAACTCTCAGTGCAAATCATGCATTTCTTAGTTATTCCAAAATATTTAAAATCAATACATAAATAAAAACGAGCATTTCTTTTAAAGCAAAGATATTATTAAAATCTGAAAACGCTGCATGAGTAGATGTACAGCTGGCCCTGAAACTTTAATCCACTTTAGTCCATTTTAGTTGGAAATTTCTCTTAATAATGCAGCTTTAACAAGAAAAAGGAAAACATATCTGTCGATCTCTCTATATATGAAATAACCTTTTTCTAACAGAGTAATGTTTGTTGGGAAATGTGACTTTAAACTGTAACTTCTCCAGTTTTCTATTCATATTAATTATTTTTTCAGCTGTGGCTCTTCTGCCCTCAGTCTCCTCTTACCTCCCCCTTCTCTTCTTCTTATCTCTTTTCACTTTACTTTCCTTTCCTGCTCCAACTTTTCTCCTCTCCTCTCTTCTCCTCCTCCCCTCTGCTTTCCGTACTAAACACCACGCAACCTTTTCTCACCCCACAGCTGTTGGCAGGCTGTTTTACCAATTATCACTACGCATGCACACACTTAGGTCACGCACATAGACTCTCGCGCACATGTACGACGGACCAGCACAACACCAACGCTTGCTTAACCACGCATCGTGACAGCGGAGTGTGTTTGTCAGGCCTCGGTGCGCGAGTGCTGTAGAGGTGTACGAGCGCAGCTCACTGTGCAGCCCTTTAAGAAGAGTAGCAACATATACGCAGATGTGTCTGTAGATCCACAGGCTTCACTGGGCCATATGGCCTCCACGGAGAAAGATGGTGCTTGCGTCTGGAGAAGAGCAGAAGAGGGAGGGAGGGATGGAGCGGAGGATGGAGGGCCATGTGTGGCATGAGCTGTGCAAGCAGTTGTTGAAGTATGTATGCCTGTGGATGTGTGTGTGAGTGCATGCGTGTGTATGAGCGTGTGCGTTTGCACCAGAGGCTCCAGGAGATTGGTTAATGGAACAAATGGTCGCGGCGGGCCAGGGAAGAAGGAACAGGCTTGCTGCTACCGCGGGCGGACAGCGAGCCTCAGGCGAGGGCTGCTTCATCTGGGCTCATGCCACACACATACACACACCCTCTGTCAAACCCTCGTCTCTCCTCATCCCCCCGCTCCCAAACACACAGTGTGCTGCCATGCCGCCCCAGAAGCAAAAGGACGCTCCTCGCAAAACTTTTCATTTGCAAATGAAGTTGGCAGAGGCTGGGCAGAAGAAAACAGGACAGCTTTCATTTGTCTCATCTGTGTCTTCGCGCGTACACACACACACACACACACAGATATTTGTGTGTGCGTGCATCTGTGTGTGATGAGTTGCCACTATGTGTGTGATCTATGAGGTACAGGGAAACAGGGGGACGATAAAAAGAGTGAGATGTGGAGAAAGTGAGGATAAAGACAAAGAAGGCCCAGTGTGAGGTTCAGTGACGTTAACGCCTCGTATTCATCTTCCACAGAGCGCTAATATTAACATCACCTCCTTACATTTCACATGTGTTTCTTTTTTTTCTTTTTTTTTTTACTGATCACACATAGCTGTTTCTTCACAGATTTTTTTAAAAATGGATTTTTATTTTTCACATAACAGCAGCCCCTTGCCTTTCAGGTTTTTATCATAAAGCACTGATCACAGGTAGGTAGTTGGGTAGTCAGAATGTGGTTTGTTAGCAGCTACTTTCCAAACATTTCAAATATTTAATTTATATTTTAAATATTTACAAAAGCAACCACGAGGAAGTATTAACCGTTTTAAGACACTACCTCCATTTCGTTCCTCACTCATACTTGCGTTCTTACCTCTGGGTGGCGCTGATCAGTCGTCTCCCTCCTCCTTCATCTTCCTCTTCTTCTTTTCTCATCGTTTCTGTCTCCGCATGGCCCAGCTGGCTCCCGTAGCCGGGAGCGACTGCAGGGCGGCCTGC